CGCTGACACGTCAACTCCCAAATATCTGAAAACATTCACATCTTCTATACTCCCTCTCTCTAATGTGATATCCATTTTTTCTTTATGTAAATTTGATACCTTCATCACCTTACTCTTATCTAAGTTCACTTTCAACTTTCTACCTTTACACACCCTCCCAAACTCATCCACTAACCTTTGCAACTTTTATTTAGAATCTCTCATAAGCACAGTATAATCAGCAAAAAGTAACTGTGTCAACTCCCATTTTGTACTTTATTTCCCATAATTTAATCCCACCCCTCTCCCCAACACCCTTGCATTTACTTCTTTTACAACCCTATCTATAAATATATTAAACAATCATGGTGACATTACACATCCCTGTCTAAGACCTACTTTTACCGGGAAGTAATCTCTCTCTTTAATACACACCCTAATCTGAGCCTCACCATTCTCATAAAAACTCTTTACAGTATTTAATAACTTACTACCTATTCCATATACTTGCAACATCTGCCACATTGCTTCCTTATCCACTCTACCATATGCCTTTTCTAAATCCATAAATGCAGTGAAAACTTCCCTACCTTTATCTAAATGCTGTTCACACACATGCTTCAGTGTAAACACTTGATCTATACATCCCCTACCCCTATATATATATATATATATATATATATATATATATATATATATATATATATATATATATATTAATAATAATAATAATAATTCCTGGTTGTCATACTGCTGCTGCATTTTCCATAGTTTCACAGTTTAATATTATACAAAAATTGCTTATTATTAACCATCCGGTTTCACCTTTCCTCAATTTACAACTCTTCTTTTCCGGTATTAAGCAATTTTTATATGTGCTTTTATATAATATTGAACTTTTATGTGGTTATCGTCATCTACTTCCTCCTATGAATCAACGAACATATCCATAACGTTTTCAGCCTTTCATAATTCAAGTTCTGTCGTGTCTGTGTGATGTTTTTGATGCAGTAACCAAACCATTGGTACATAATACTAGTTTTTCCTAACATACCTTCAAGCAACTTTTCTTTTTATCACTTTCCACTCTATATGTGACTGGTATTTTATAGCTTGGCACTGTAGATCATGAGCTTCTCATATTTTTATTTTTTTTTATTTAATGATGATAGTCCTTTTGTTAACTCCTAGATCTCTGTTCTGACACGTGATATTTGGCATATAATGTGTGTGTGTGTGTGTGTTTTTTTGTATGTGGTTACAGGTGTTGAGTTCAAGCTCCTGGGTCCGTCTCTCAACATGTTTCTTGCCAGATTCACTTCCTCTTAGCCCCTGTAGTACCCACTATTAAATCTATGGATGGAGCCTTCCTCAACCACTTTCTTACTGAGACTGAAGAAATACTTCCTGACATACTTGTGGCTCATCTGTGTCTTTAACTTCCAGCTGTGTCCTCGAGTTCAGTTTCTCTCCTCTCAACCAGCTTGTTCCTGTCTACCCTATCAATTCTCCTGAGTATTTTGTAGGTTATATCTCCCCTAGTTCTTGTGGTGTGTGTGTGTTTGAGAGATAGAGGGGAGATGGAGGGCGGGGACGAGGACAGACAGTCTCTACTTTGAGTAGAATGGTATACAACACCGGTAAGTTAATAAGCGACACATGTACAACAATTAGGCATCCTTATTCTTGTAATAAAGAATACCTAATAAAGATACCTGACTGTCACACATGTCTCATCAGCCTCTGCTTTAGTGACTACTGGTATGTAACCACAGAAGTAGACCTATGCTCGTCATCCTCTCTACTATATTTACTTTTATTAATTTTTTAAGTTGGAATGTATTTATCTACGCCAAAATTTGTAAATACTTTTTTTTATAGTTCCCTTTCTTCACTTTCATTTGATGAAATTCTCACCGAATATGTCAATAAATCTGCAGTATATCTTCTCTTGTCTTTTTATAAAGATAATATTTAAAATCTCTCTTTCTCTCTTGCTTATCAACGTGTTCCATTTTAATTCGCAAATTCATAGTTCTTAAACTTGAGAAGCATTTTATTACTTGGCACTGAACACTATATATTTTCTGCTTAAGGTGAAGATACCATACTAGAGTTTCATGTGTCAGTTATGGTTTAATGTAAGTTACTCTTCTCTAGTCACTTGAGAAAGTTCACTACATGAAAACAAAGCGTCGTGTGTCTTTATACATCAAAGTTCTAAAGTTTTCTCGAGTCCATCACTAATTTTTTTGAGCTGTTTCCACAGTTTCAGTGGGTAAGTTAAGCAGACATTCATTCCACTCCACAGTATATAAACATTGGTGCAGCTCCACTCCACAGTATATAAACATTGGTGCAGCTCCACTCCACAGTATATAAACATTGGTGCAGCTCCACTCCACAGTATATAAACATTGGTGCAGCTCCACTCCATAGTATATAAACATTGGTGCAGCTCCACTCCATAGTATATAAACATTGGTGCAGCTCCACTCCATAGTATATAAACATTGGTGCAGCTCCACTCCATAGTATATAAACATTGGTGCAGCTCCACTCCACAGTATATAAACATTGGTGCAGCTCCACTCCACAGTATATAAACATTGGTGCAGCTCCACTCCACAGTATATAAACATTGGTGCAGCTCCACTCCATAGTATATAAACATTGGTGCAGCTCCTCTCCCCAGTGTATAAACATTGGTGCAGCTCCACTCCACAGTGTATAAACATTGGTGCAGCTCCACTCCACAGTGTATAAACATTGGTGCAGCTCCACTCCACAGTGTAAAAACATTGGTGCAGCTCACTCGATAGTGTATAAACATTGGTGCAGCTCCACTCCACAGTGTATAAACATTGGTGCAGCTCCACTCGATAGTGTATAAACATTGGTGCAGCTCCACTCCACAGTGTATAAACATTGGTGCAGCTCCACTCGATAGTGTATAAACATTGGTGCAGCTCCACTCCACAGTGTATAAACATTGGTGCAGCTCCACCCCACAGTGTGTAAACACTGGCGCAGCTCCTCTCCACAGTATAAACATTGGTGCAGCTCCTCTCCAGTGTATAAACATTGGTGCAGCTCCATGCCACGGTATATAAACATTCCACACATCCATATATATCTATCTTTTCTACAGTATTACACATCTACAAATGTGCATTCCACAGTACATAAAATTGCATGTAACTACACTCCAAACTATAATCATGCACACGCGTACACATGAGAAGTGTCCACCGAGGTACACATACTATGCACTTTACTATTATTCGGGTATGATGCAACAAGAAACTGTACAAGTATGAATGACCCACTCCCATAGCATACACACAAATCGGTGAGCACATGCGTACTCGCGCTCCCACAAATCATAGCGGGCACACAAATCAGTGAGTATACAGAGACTGGTGGACACAAATGTACATAGAGTTCACAGCAGAGCATTGTATTTAACGTACTGGGACATAGCTGTTGGCCAAACAGCTGTGCTGCTGGAGCCAGGAACACTGTTCACCCCCACACTCACTGAAGGCCACACTTATTCTTCACAATTTAAACTGTTTTGCCTGTTGTTACTATTACTACTACTACTGCTGTTACTGTTATTACTGCCATTACTGTTGCCTCTGCCCTTTTATTCTTTTTCTTTCTCTCATTCAAACCAGAGTATAGCGGTACTAGCACATGTGATACCTGAACTTTCAACGTTGCAGCGAGAAAGCTGGAAGCGGTGTAGATGTCATGTTGGAGAACACTGTGTGGTGTGTGAATCGTGTAGATTATTAGGAACACTGATATTTGCAGAGGGGTGTGAGGTTATTAATTATTATTATTATAATCAAGGGGAAGCGCTAAACCCGTAGGATTATACAGCGCATGTAGGGGTGGAATGGAAGGTATTCAGGCTCAATTCAGGGGACCGGAGCACAGATCCAATAACCTATATCAAGAGCCCCTCACCAGCATCAAGGAACGTGAGGTTATTAAAGGTATATTTGGCGGATGAGGGTTTGTTGAGGTGGTTTGGACATACATATAATGGGTGGAGTATAATAGGAGGGTAGTGTGTGGACAAATCCGAGGAGGGAGGGAAACTGGCGTAACTGTCGCCTCAGGAAGGACTGGAGGAAGAAGATGAAAGTCTTAAATGGCAGAGACCTGAACATCAGCAGGTCTATATGAGCGTGTTAGATCAGATTGGAGGAAGAAAAGTGGAAGTTCCGGTTTTTACGTGGCATCGGAGCGTGAGCTAGTCAACATAAATAAATTTAGGTAAACCAGTTAGCCGGAGTCCTGGGAGTGGGGAGTTCAGTACTTGCATTCTGAAGGTGGTGTGGGAATGTTGCTGTTCGGAGGGCCAGACAAGACCGAAATTGAATGGATAATGTTGAATGTATTGTTTTTTGCGTCATTCTACCTTGGTGAGAGACTGCCATTGTGGTAAATTTATACATTATGTATATGTTTGTAGATGAATGGTTCAGAGAACCGACATGTTGATAAATTAGACACATGTGCAACATGTGTTCAGTCCATCAATCATCAAGATTGATGGACTGAACACATCGACTCAAGGTTGAGGGACTGATTACCTCATTCTCCTCTTGTTCTTCAAGTTTCTCCTATGTATGGACTGATGAAGCCACTGTGTGGCGAAACGTTTAGTCAATAAAGATACCCAAGAGTTGCACATGTGCCTAATTTATCATTATGTATATGTATTTATGTATGTACGTACAAATATATATAAAACGCATTCGTTTATTTCGGTATTCTAAATAAGTTATTTATATTTGCATACATTTGTGGGATACATTCATATAAACACCTGCTAATGCTGCTGCCAACAGTTGTTTGCAGGTGTATACTGTTGGTGGTCTAAAAGGGCTCACAATCTGCTACATCACTTTTCACCATGTTCAAATGTAAGTAGTGAATTTCGAAAACTGTACTTGTAATAACTAACATAAGTTTTGTAAAATTCAGAAGGCAGGAGTTGTACCCACCTTTGGTTTGGGGAGATATGTCCTTGTACATGTTCACTATGTCGACAGGCCACGCACTGTTCACTAAGTTCACTCTATAAGCTGTCTAGCACACTGCATGGGGACTGTTGACTAGATGGTGAAGACACCGACTTGTCTGTCTCTCCAGTAACCACCATGTGTACTTCACCATTTAGACACTCTGGGTTTACCTCAACCACAACACAACCCCGCTGCCAGCTGTACGAACTTGCTCGCCTATAGTCATCGCTACAACTCTAATTCATATATTGCTTATTCGCATTTATATTGGATATATCAACGATTTTCCTATAAAATATAATTAGCTTAAAATATAATTAGCTTAAAATATAATTAGCTTAAATATTATTGTAACTGGAAGAGAAACAGTAAGTCGCTATAAAATAAAATGAGATGAAAACAATTGAAAACGTGAGAGTAACAGTGGCACGTGAGGTGGGGAAGTTATCCCGTGATTGGTTAATCAGAACATAAAGCGCGCATCCCGTCCTCCTAGCACGAGAGCTCCGCCAATGGCAGCGTTATTTTGATCCTCCTCAACCAATCAGCTTGCTGGAACGAGGCGCGTGCGGCCCGCACGACAGGTGATAAGCGGCGTCAAACCAACCACATCACACACAAACATTTCTCATGCGCATACATTCGCCTCCTGGATATTCTTCCTCTTTCAGAACAAAGACAAAAGATTCCTGTGTATCTGAGGTATATTTCTGTAAGAGGAAATAAGGAAGAGGCTTGGGGAGGAGTGGGTAGCCCCGCAGAGCTGCTATAGAACAGGTGTTGGGCAGCGCGTGCCTCACGCACGGCTGCAGAGGCCACATTAAACTCCCGCGTCCGCTGCCTCACCTGCGCTCAGTGTTATATATATAAAAAAAAGCGTGATTCAAGCGATGCGAAAGTTACACTGCGTGATCTTAAGTCGCGGTGGGGGAGGGAGAGGGGGTTGTGGAGGGGAATTGGCGGGGGCGGTGAAACACGTGAGGGGAGGTGGTGTGTAGCTGACGGAGGTGTCTTGGTGAAGAGGGGAAGTATGCGGGTGGAAGGTGAAGGGAAGGAATGCAGGTGAGATTAGGTGAAGTATTTACTGGTCAGGTAAGACTAAGGTGTTGTGGGTTGGGTGAGGTAAGAGTGAGGAGTGTTGTGGGTGGGTGAGGTAAGAGTGAGGAGTGTTGTGGGTGGGTGTGAGGTAGAGTGAAGGAGGAGTGTTGTGGGTGGGGTGAGGTAAGAGAGGAGGAGTGTTGTGGGTGGGGTGAGGTAAGAGTGAGGAGTGTTGTGGGTGGGGTGAGTTAAAGTGAGGAGTGTTGTGGGGGTTGAGGTAAGAGTGAAGAGTTTTGTGGGTAGGGTTAAGTTGGGGAAGAGGGTTGTGGCCATGTGAGGGTGGAGGAAGAGTGCTGTGGGCATTGTCAGGTTGGACGGGCGAGGTGCTGGTGGGCATTGTCAGTTGGGGGGACGAGTGATACGGGCATTGTCAGGCTGAAGGGACGAGTGCTGTGGACGGTGTCAGGCTGGAGGGAGGAGTCTGTGGACGTTTTTCAGCTAGAGGGGGGAGTGCTGGGCGGTGTCAGGCTGGGGGAGGAGGCTGTGACGGTGTCGGCTAGAGGAGGAGGTGCTGTGGACAGTGTCAGTCTGGAGGAGGAGTGCTGTAGAGGGTGTCAGGCTGGGGAGGATGCTGTGGACGGTGTCAGGCTGGGGGGAGGAGTGCTGTGGACGGGTCAGGTTGGAGGGGGGAGGGCTGTGACGTGTCAGATGGAGGGAGAGTGCTGTGGACGGTTGTCAGCTGGAGGTATGAGTGCTGTGGACGGTGTCGGGTTTGGGAGGGGGGAGTGCTGTGGACGGGTCAGGCTGGAGGAGGAGTGCTGCGGACGGTGCCAAGCTGGAGGGGGAGGATTATGGACGGTGTCAGGCTGGAGAAATGGTGCTGGGACGTTGTCAGGCTGGAGGGAAGAGTGCTGTGGACGGTGTCAGGTTGGAGGGAGGAGTGCTGTGGACGGCGTCAGGTTGGAAAGAGGAGTGCTGTGGACGGTGTCAGACTGGAGGGGGGAGCGCTGTGGGCGGTATCAGGCTGGAGGGAGGAGTGCTGGGGGCTGTTCAGGCTGGGGAGGTGCTGTGGCGGTATCAGGCTGGAGGGAGGAGTGCTGTGGACGGTGTCAGGCTGGAGAAGGAGTGCTGTGGATGGTGTCAGGTTGGAGGGAGGAGTGCTGTGGGCGGTGTCAGGTTGGAGGGAGGAGTGCTGTGGACGGTGTCAAGCTGGAGGGAGGAGTGCTGTGGACGGTGTGAGGCTGGAGGGATGAGTGCTGTGGACGTTGTCAGGCTGGAGGGATGAGTGCTGTGGACGGTGTCAGGTTGGAGGGAGGAGTGCTGTGGACGGTGTCAGGTTGGGGGGAGGAGTGCTGTGGACGGTGTCAGGCTGGAGGGGGGAGCGCTGTGGCGGTTGTCGGGCTGAGGGAGGAGTGCGTGGACGGGGTGTCCAGGTTGGAGGGAGGAGTGCTGTGGACGGTGTCAGGCTGGAGGGGGGAGCGCTGTGGGCGGTGTCAGGCTGGAGGGAGGAGTGCTGTGGGCGGTGTCAGGCTGGAGGGAGGAGTGCTGTGGACAGTTGTCAGGCTGGAGGGAGGAGTGCTGTGGGTGGTGTCAGGCTGGAGGGAGGAGTGCTCTGGACGTTGTCAGGCTGAAGGGATGAGTGCAGTGGATAGTGTGAGGCTGGGGGGAGGAGTGCTCTGGACGGTGTCAGTCTGGAGGGAGAAGTGCTGTGGAAGGTGTCAGGCTGGAGGGAGGAGTGCTGTGGACGGTGTCAGGCTGGAGGGACGAGTGCTGTGGACGGTGTTGTTGAGAAATGGTATTACCAGCTAAGTTTAAAGAGTTTGTACTTAACTTAGAAAGACAGCTCATCGCCTGCACAGCCGCCCCTGCAGACGAGGTCTTGAGAAGCTGTCAAAGTCGTATCTCAACGGGCTGTAAATGAGTTATAATTTGTAAGATTATAAATTACCCCTAGGGGGTGTTATGTCAGCATATTTCATTCACTGATTGCTGACAAACTTACTTGTGTGGACTCAAAGTCCGGGCCCCCTTTCTGCCGACTATAGGTTGATTACAACTCCTTGTGACTCAAGAACTGCCAGTCCCCCGTAAACAAGAAATTTGTAAACCCACCTTGCTCTTGTAGCGTGAGCTATGGTGTTCTCCAAACTTTGACAGATAAACGGGGACTTGATAAAGCTGAAGTTCCTTTGGGTGTCCACGTCTTCCTGTCTAGGGAAAAGCACACTGGTACCCAATTTTTTTTCCACAAGATTTGTCTTTATTGTCACAATCTTATCATAAAGAACTGATACACTTCTCTTAAGTGTTTATTGTGTTTTATGAACACTTTTTTCACACTAATGCACAGATCAGTGTTTTTGGGTGTTTATCCGGGATCAAGTGTCACTCTCAGTAGAGTCCAAAGTAATCGAGACGCCACAGCGCCCCCAGGCCCCTCATGCCCCCAGCACAAAGGGAAAATTTACCTATACTTTGCTTCCTTGCCCCTCCTCGGAAGCAAAGCAAAGTTTAAATCTTGCGTCTTAAGCTAGGGCAACAATGTCCACTATCTTTACTTGGTAATAAAGTGGACAGGATTTTCCTTTAAAGTCCTGCTAAGTAAGAGATGTACTGTCTCTTATTAAACTCACTGCAACACCCGGTGCAAGGGGCAAGAGCAGCATCGCTTTACCACTCGCATACTTGTACTGCCCTCTGCGATCAATTCTCACTGAGCAGTAAACAAGATTTTGCCCCTCTGAGAGGGCTGGGCCCCTCAGGCTGAAAGGGCTGAAGGGGTGATACCCCCCTCTGGAAATTTCTCCACAGGGGGGTGGCGGGGTTCGCTGCAGGTGAACTATCATCACTTAAATTAATTGATTTTCTCACCCCCCCCCACACTGCGCTTGTCTTTTCTGAACAGCTTTGTCTGTGTGGTTTCTGAGATCATATTTTGTTTTCAACACGGTGAATTCTAACGTACAATTTGTATATGGATGTCCCTTATTCAGCGTACACCTTTGCAGGCAAACATCACTGTCCTGATGATTCCATTTGCATCAGATGTATGTTCACAATTTAGATCCGGAGAAATGGGCCAAGGTGTACCTCGTGGACCATCATTTCATTAATGCACTATTCACCAGATCTTAAGGACTTATGATTTTCAGGACACAGCTCCATAGAAGTTTTTCTCTCAATGAGGTGTGTGAGATAAGCTGTTCTCGCCAATTTTGTCTCCCAACGTTCGAAGGTGGGGGGGGGGATGGGGAGGGAGTGGGGGGCACAGGTGATATTTAAGTTGTTGTGAATTTACTCAGAGATTTGCACAGTATCGAAATAATAGGATCCGACTATGATAAGCTTTAACATTCATGGGATGAACAGGTGTTCGACCATCTACCATGGATAAGATGAGATGGACTTAACACTATCTAAATTGTCCAAACATCGGTGAACATAAGATAGAGGTCAGCTTTTAGACTCCTATTGTCTATTCCAGACACACTGAACGTAATTCTTTCAAAGTCGAATCTTTGGACGATGAGTAGAGTCAACCGTTAAACACGGTTATACGAATGCCGTTGTATCATTCTTTCATAAAATCCGCCTGTGCCATGGTGAGATTTAGGGAGGAATGTATCTCCAAACGACAACTGCGTTATTCAGCATCTGTTGAACTTCCTGGTGATGATCAAATGAAGCTTGCTTATATTAGCACACCAGCAACAAATTCGTTCATTATCTGAAATCATCAGTCGGGACATGCCAGTGTCTGGCTGCAAACCTTCTGAATAATTTGATAAAGTCTTCAGCATACATGTCAGTGGCTAGCTTCTAGATGTACTGCTCTAGTTGTAGCACAGTGGAACAAACAGATGTACCCTGATAGGAACATTGTACAACTGTTTTGGTTAAGAATAATAGGACCAGTGTAATCAACATGCCTGTCGGACCTCAAAGTGTATTGACTGACAAACGTCTTTCAGATGATATTGAGGAGGACCTGGATACTGTACACACTCGCATATCCGTATGTCGGACAGAGTGATAATACGCAGTCCTTAATTGATTTTTGCACACTTTGTCGACCTTGAGGTATCCAGTAGGATTGTCGG